GGATGCAATCGATGAACACAATGCATCGGGTTTATCAGATTGTGAAGCCCATCAATCCAAACTTCTGCTTCCTGCAGTGCACTAGTGCATACCCACTTCAGCCAGAGGATGTCAATCTCCGTGTTATATCGGTCAGTGTGCCATGGGTAGGGTACAAGAGAAGGGCTATGCACTTTTACTGAGATACATTTCGAGATCTTAGGCATGCTGGAATTTGCTTCTGAGAAGTCAGAAGATGTATCATGTTCCTCTAATTCGTGCAAGTGTTAAAGTAAAAATACCCAATGGATCCTCTTTAAGGATTTAACTCAGCTTTGAGGAATATGATAAAAGGTATTAATAGAGTACTCATAATTAAACAGAAGAAAACATGACATATGGTTAACAGGTTAACCCTGTGCTTTGTAGTGCAAAGAAAAATTTTGTAGACTGTTACCATTAAAAAGATGGATGGAATTGAGAATGTAATTCTAAACTTCTACACCAGCAACTTTTGTTAAAAATGCTTTGTGTGAATATCAGGGCAATGTAGAAAATCGATTAGGCCCTTGTATAGTTTCCTTCACTGAAAATATTAGTTGGATATGCCTGATAGTGCAAGAAGATTTTCATAGATTAGCCAGTGTTGAAGCATTTGCCTAGTTTTACGCACAAGTAGTGTGTTATTTTTAGTAGAACAGGACATGGCTGCATTTAATTGCCTTTAGGATTGGGTGACTGTTCTTTATGTATGGCTGAAAGGATTGCTTCAGATTTTAAATATGGGGTTGAAGAAATCTGCTTTGGATGCAGATTGTTTAACCAGACCACTGGGATCTTGAACTAAAATAGAGCACTATTCTATTACGGTAACTTACAGTGAGGTAGGCATTGAAGACCTTAAGAGTACAATGGAATTAAAAGTAAGAGAAGTTGTAGAGTAGAACATACTTCCTTTTCCTTGTCAGTACTGGTAATCCTAGTGAAATTCTTAAAACGTGATGGTCAGCAATGCAGTGTGACTTCTTCAGTATAAAAAAAAAAATTATTCTCGGCATAACCAACTGCTTGGTTTGTGGCAGAGTAATTGTCCGTGGTTTTTATTGCAGTTGTTACAGTTAAATTTGCTTTGTCTTTGAAATTGCTACCTTGCTAATTCAGACCAATTCTGTTGTGATTCAAGGCATATCAGTCAGCTTTTCCTGATATCCCTATTGGCTATTCGGGGCATGAAACTGGCATAGCCATTTCAATAGCAGCTGTTGCTCTGGGTGCTAAAGTAGTGGAACGCCATGTGACTCTTGACAAAACATGGAAAGGAAGTGACCACCAAGCATCCCTGGAGCCAAACGAACTGTTGGAGTTAGTGAAAGCCATCCGTACTGTGGAAAAAGCAATGGGTTCTCCAGTCAAGCAACTTCTGCCCTGTGAAATGGCTTGCAATGAAAAGGTAACTTCTGCTTTTGAGTCATGTATAGCAGAAACTCATTTAGACCTAAGCTAATAACTATATTCAGAAAAAATAGCTTGCTAATTGTTTAATGCAGCAGTGTTTCTGCCTCTCCACTCAACAATTTCTGCTGCTAAGTAGCAGCATGCATATGCTTAGCCCACTGTAATGTCCGAGTAGACCTATGATTTTCTGTAAACTGCTATTTCTGACAGTCAGTAACTATTTTTACCAAAGCGTAATGTTGGCAGTTTTGAGTATAACAGAGTTCTGTGTATATCATCCAGTTGTTAACCAAGTTGAGTAGAAAATTATAGAATCATATAGGTTGGAAAAGACCCTTAAGATCATTGAGTCTAACCGTTGACCTAACACTGGCAAGTCCACCACTAAACCATGTCCCTAAGTGCTACTTCTATATGTCTTTTAAATAACCTCCAGGAATGGTGACTCAACCACTTCCCTGGGCAGCCTATTCTTGACAACACTTCAGTGAAGAAATCTTTCCTAATATGCAATCTAAACCTCTCCTGGTACAACTTGAGGCCATTTCCTCTCGTCCTATTACTTGCTATTTGGGAGAAGAGAATAACACCCACGTTGTAGTTGTAGAGGGTGATAAGGTCTCCATTCAACCTCATTTTTTCCAGGCTAAACAACCCCAGTTCCCTCAGCTGCTCCTCACAGAACTTGTTCTCTAGACCCTTCACCAGCTTCATTGCTCTTTGGACATGCTGCAGCACCTCAAATGTCTTTCTTGTAGTGAGGGGACCAAAACTGAACACAGCAGAGGTGCAGTTTCACCAGAGTCAACTACAAAGAAGTCAGTAATAGCAATAGAGTAATAGGTCTCTATGACTGTATACGAGCTGCTTTTACTCTAAGCTAGAATACTAGTCAGTATAATAAAATTCCCTCCATTCTGATTCTGAAAAAATCCAGTGAGCCATTACCCAATTTCCAAAAGGATAGCCTAGTTACAGTGAAGGTTTCCATGCTAACTCAGCCTGCATTTGGAATAAGAAGTACTGGGGAGGGCAGTTCCACACAACCTGTTCCACGTAACTGCATAATATTTTTTAGCCTTTTTTCGTATACTAAACCTAGGAATGTGTAAACTGTTTTTTTTTTTTATTTCTCCCCTGTAGCTGGGAAAGTCTGTTGTGGCAAAAGTGACAATTCCTGAAGGTGCAATACTGACACTTGACATGCTGACAGTGAAGGTGGGAGAGCCTAAGGGATTTCCCCCAGAAGCAATCTTTGACCTGGTGGGCCAGAAGGTTAAAAAAAAAATTGAAGAGGATGAAACCATCACTGAGCAAGCTGTGGAAGATCATGTCAAAAAAGTGAAGTGCTAAACCAAAGCACTCCATTCCATATTTCATTATGTAGTACTATACTACTGCCCAACATATTTAAGTAAAGCAGCATGGTTAGAAGAAAGGGGTGCAATTATGAGGATCCAAGCAGATTAGAATTTTCAGGTTCTCATTGGCATGAAGTTTCTGGAGCAACTGGGTATAATGATGAGCAATTTTATTAGAAACTGTATAGCACTGTGTCTAGAAAATTCCATGCTCCTCCTTTCTCCATTCCACTTAGCCTGGATTAATTTGGGAGTTTTGCCAGATCTTAAGAACACAGTCTGCTGCTTTGCAGCTTCTCTTTTCTGGTAGGAATACACTAGATCACAGTAACTTTTGTCTACACTTTTGAATTGTTCTAGCACCATTTTTTTTTATATTCCTCTCTTTTCTGCCATTTTCCTCACCCCTGTGATAACAGGATGCTAGTTGGAGTTGAATACAGATAAGTGAAAGTTTACATACATTGAACAGGAAACTACACATGCAACCTCATGATTTTTCTCAAGATGAAAGCCTCGAGATAAGTCTTAAGATAAAACAGTGGTTTGCAGGAATCTGCGCTCTGGGGAAAATGAGCTCCTGGAGAAAGCTAGGTTCTCAAGAGACAGTATCAAGAAAGGAAGCAAACTGGATATGTAGAAAGGTCCCATTTGAGGGGCAAGAAAAATAACTTTTTTTTGTGACCTAAAAGCAAGAGGGCGGCAAGGCAGATTAAGTGGGGAGAAACAGATCTGAGATTAATCAGGGGAAATAAACTTAACCCATGCTTCAAAAAAATGTCAAAAGCATCTGCTGTGAGCTTAGTGAAGCCTGGAATCTTAATTCTGCAGTGCATGTGGATATCTCTATTTGTACCTAAAGGCAACTTCTCACCAAACGCTGGTGAAGATTCAGCAGCCTCCTTCTTCTAACAAATCTTTTGCACCCCAGCACTGGTGTTTGAGACAGCTGAGGCTGGCTTCTTAACCAGATCACATCACTATGTTTTGGCATGATCAGTGCTCCTCTTGTGTGTTCTGCACTTGAATCACAGTTTCTCACTTTTCAAGTAAGAAGTGCAATCCCACTATCAGCCTGCTGTCCTTCCCTTTGTCCAGGAAGGAGCCATATGGTAGTAGCTGCAAACCAGGCATCCCTTAATTAGTTTGGTTGGCACAGAATTGCTTTGGTATAATTCATCTGCATTTTTCTGTGGTAGAATCATTTACTAGCTATGGTTATTTGGAACTTGCTACGTCTTGATCACAAGTTGATGAAGTATCTTGAATTTGGTGGTGGTGTTTCTGTACCTGTGAGGTATTTACTTTCAAAATATTTACCCTTCTGCCATTCTGAGGAAATTGTATTTCTATCTAAACTGGGAAGGAGAGATTCTTTGAATCGTGCTTGACTGTATGTGAGCTCCAGTTGATGCAATATGCTTGCTTTATATTACAAAAAATTATTCAGTTGTTAAAAGGTTTTTTTAAATTCAAATTTGAAAAATGAATTTGGCTTATAAAACAAGCTGTTGTTTTTGTGTTTCAGCCTATGGTCAGACTTTGCCTTTGCCAGCACTGGTGATGATTCCAGGGCCTTCAGTATTTGAGCCCCATAAGGTTACCTGACCTGCTTCAAGTAGAATTGGTGCTTCACTCCAGCAGGGCTGGTCCTAGAGGCTGCTTTAAACATGAGCTCCAAAAATTTCCAGGGCTTTAATTAATGTATTGGGAAATACATAAATTATCCCTGTATAGAAACTTCCAAGCTGCCTCTCCTAGTTTTATGTGAGCATACCTTTATCCAGCAGCAGTTAAAGAAAGAGCCTTAACAAATACAACACAAAAATAAATTAAGCACAAGTGCCCCCACTGACCTAGTGTTTTTATTGCACCTGTGAGTCCTCCAAGCATTTCATCTTTTACTGGGGATGGTGCACAACTATTTCTTGTGCTTCCACTTTGCACGAAGAATAGGGCCACCCAGAAGCCCAGTTCAGAGTCTCTTGTCATAAGATAAGCTAATGGCTACTAAGTGTGACTATAGAAGCTTCTGCTTCAGCTTTACTTGAAGGGACCTTTCCCACAGTTGGTGCCAGGCTTTGATTTTTCTGAGATGATACTTGAGTATGAACTAAATCACTTGGTGCATCTATTAATGAAATCTGACCTTGTCAACTTTAACACTATGCAATCTATGAACTTGAAGCTTGAACCAAACTAAACTTAGGACCATACATGACTGCAGCCTCTCCAGGCAGATGAGGGGAGTATGTTATGTTTGTGTATTCTAATGGACCCTTCCCAGAGCCTCAAGGATGGGTAAACTGGTTCAGTGAACTTGCAGCGGAAGGTGTGCAAATGAGCCATGCCATCAGTAACATTGTAGAATGAAACGATTCCTGCTTCATAATCCAGAAAAATACCAATGCGATCAGGATCATCTTCTATCAGGATGGGAATTCTCTCCCCCTTGTGAAATGCCCAGTATTCGAAATCAAACTTCTTAAGGCACCAAGATGCTCTATTCCAGCCCAGTCGACATGTTTCAGAGTCTCCTTTCCAGCCAATGGAAGGGTAGGCTGCGCCAATCCACCATCCTGCTCCAGTATGAAGCAGGTCAACTTCCTAGCAATAGCTCCCCGAGAGAAATGCATCTCTGCTTAGCACCTGCCATAATTTATCGAATCTCTGGGGACCACAAGGATAAAATAGCCTCCTCCAATTACAGGTTACTACAAGATGGTCATCAGACAATTTCAGCCTTGGGTGAAGGCTGTCATGTTCCTAGGTTGGTGATCTTGCATCTGCAGTCAAAACCACAAACATACTTACATTTATCATAACTCTTCAAAGAAGTCCAAGTTATAAAAAAACCTGCAAAGGAGCCCACAGCTGGCAGTGTCTTGGAACCTGCCATTTTGCAAGGCAAAACCTGACATTTTTAATAGAAAGCACTGCACTGTTTATATGCACTGATGCTTTAAAACTGAATAGGCTTTAAAGCAGGTCAGTATGTAAGTCAGTATATGCATGGTTCACAAGTGACAAGATTAATACAGCTAGGTAGGGTACAAAAACTGAGAGCTTCTGCTTTATACAGAATAGTTAGAGACTTCTGGTGGGACTACAGCCCGAGGGTTTTAGAGGGCACTGGAGTGGACTCTTGAGTTGTGAGATCCCTTTCCACTGAAATCCCATTTGAAGACGCACTAGGAGTGTGTTTCTCAGAGGCACCACAGCTCTGAGCAGCAGTATCGTACACTGCAAAGGAAAAACTTATCACCTCCCAAAGGGTTTCATAGAATCATAGAATGGTTTGGGTTCAAAAGGACCTTAGAGATCATCTAGTTCCAACGCCCCTGCTATGGGCAGGGACACCTCCCACTAGCCCAGGTTGCTCAAAGCCTCATCCAGCCTGGCCTTGAACACCTCCAGGGATGGGGCATCCGCAGCTTCCCTGGGCAACCTGTTCCAGTGTCTCACCACCCTCACAGTAAAGAATTTCTAATATCTAGTCTAAGTCTGCTGCAGTGCTCTCTTAGTAGCCAGTGATCAGTGACCTGGACTGGCTGTCCTAGCACCTTAATAGCTTCCAGTTACAAAGTGACTGACTCAGTCTGGATCCTGCAGCACAGACATGACACAAGTGGAAAAGATCTGTGACACACCTTGCCCATTGCATTTCTGATTTCTTAACAGCTGCTGCATTTACAAGTGTAACACCTGTTTGCTCATCTCCACTTGAGATAAGCTGTTTGGAATGAAAAAGTTGCAGTGTTTGGACATGGCAGCTCACTCAGGAAAGCACAGAAACAAAGACAAGGTAACAACACTGGAAAATGGCCCTCTCAGAATACAGCAACCTCTAGATGCAGGGACAACATGTAACTCACTCTTACCAGCACAGTACTGTCCCTTGCCCTCCCTGCTGACTTACAGCCAGAAGTCAAGTGTCTACTTGGTCACAGTCATGGCCTCCACTGGGCTGGATCCAGTCCAGAAAACAGACCTTCTCTTGCAACAGGCCTTTGCCACCAGGTACAATGGTATTAGAGAATGTTACAGCTTTGAGATTAAAAATGGATACAGCCCTCATCTCCTGCAGGCCACCTGAAATGTCCATGAGTTTCCCATCAGAGAGATGAAACAATTCATTGTACATCTTTCCTACCAACACCAGAGGAAAGGATCACCTGTAGATTGGCCCTTAACACATTACATGACAGGCATATAATTAAAGACAGACCACAATGATCTGGAGAACAGAAAAATCTTCTAAAACTAAATTAGCCACTAGCTGATTCACACACTGGCAGTTCTGAATAAAAACAAAGGATCGAGATTTCACGGACAGTACAATTTCTTTCCCAACCTGAGATACGGAAAAGGAGAACCTCTTATGTTCCTAAATCACCACTGGTATAGGCACATTACACCAATGCTGTCAGAGAACAGTACCCATGCCTGAAAGGCTGCTGTTTCTCCAGCTGATGGGATAAAAAGCCCTCTGACTTACAGACCACGCTTTATTTAAAAGGAGAGCAGGGGAAAGCAAATTCACAGCACTGTCCTAGGTACCTTCTTTAAGCCGGGCTTCTAGTGGTTTCTGTAGAATGGACTGGAGAACTGTCACAAAGTGCTTATAATGGTTACGTATATGCTCAAACGAGAGAGGTATTGGATGCCACTGTTCTAACAGGAGCCTGCACTCCTGCAATTCCCTCTCGATTTCTGTGTGCCTCTGAGGGCAGAAAGCCAAATTCTCCAGTTAATAGAGACAATGACATGAATTGACCTTGGCCAGAGGCAGGTCTGACCCGGAGCTGAGAAACTTCCAGCAGCTTCTTGCAAGGGCCATTATGGTAGTGGCCTCCCCCCCTACCAAAATCTTGGAGCCTGGGGAACTTCCAGCAGTTACTGACAGGAGCCATCCCATACTGGCAGGTTCTTCATTCTCCCAGTCCCTGCCTTTGCCTGCTGCGACTTGGGTGGTGGGGTTGAGCACTTGCCAGTGAAGACTGAGGCCAAGAAGTTGTTGAGTAGCTCAGCCTTCTCCATGTCCTGGGTAACCAGGTCTCCCCTTTCCTTCCGGAGAGGGCCCACATTTTCCCTAGTCATCCTTTTATCACCAATGTACCTAGAGAAGTTCTTCTTGTCACCCTTGAGAGGCCTGAGGGTTAAAGGGTCAATCATTCAGAAATATTTCCTGGCAGGAAGCTAGGACATCATCACCTTCTTCCTCCAGCCACAGCAAACCCAGCTAGCCGTGCAGCGGGACCAGCAGGAGCAGCTGGCATGGCCCTGAAGGTGCAGAGCCCCAGTCTGGGTGGCGAGGAAAATCCTAAGACCTGTTCTCTGCCAATACTGCCCCAGAGCCTGTAAAAAAAACCCAAAACAACAACAACAACAACAACAAACAAAACAAAACAAAACAAACCACCTCATCTCACACATTTCACGGGAGCTTCAGCAGAGGAATCACCTCCAGCAGCCAACTACAGCACGTACTGGGCTGCATGCTCGGTTTTTTTCTCATACCAGGAAGCCACAGGTTCAAAACAAGTGTCTATGACAGCCCAAAACAGACCAGTTCCCATTTCAATTCAGCCTTCAGCCACATCCCAGAGAGGCTGGTCATCCGAGTTAGGCTGTCCCATGCAGAAGAGGGAACAAAGCGCAGGTTACAGCCACCCTCCCATTGGCATATTTTCTGGCAGGGAAATACACAGACAAAACAAATAATATTTTATTATTTTAAAGGAGGCTAATTCGTTTTCTCCTTGAGAAAAGAGTTTTGTTGCAGTGTGTTTCCTGCCAGAAGTGGAAAAAAGTGAGATACTTCAGCAACGGGAGGTGGGAGGGCTGAGCAGCAGCCCCAGCTCCTTGTTCTGCATCGC